GTTCTGGAATGCATAATTGAAATAGACATCCTACCTACTAGCTGGTAGAATCCCCACATTGGTTCCCCAGCCTATGAAGTAAGGGATATCATGGTGGGAAAGGCCAACCAGAAGCCATTAGAATTGCCTTTACCTAGGACAATAGTAAACCAGGGGTACCTGGGTGGCTCAGTCAGTTGAGTGTCCTACTTCTGCTCAAGTCATGATCTCATGGTTCGTGACTTCAAGTCCCGCATCAGGCTCTCTGCTGTCTGTCAGCTTGGAGCCTGCTTTGGATCCTCTGTTCCCCCCCTCTCTCTACCCCTCCTTTGTTCGTTCTCTCTTTCAAAATAAATCAACCAATATTTATTCTTTCCTATATATATCTATAAAGGAAAATTGTAAACCAAAAGCAATACCACATTCCTGAAGGGACTGAAGAGATTGGTGCCCCCATCAAGAACGTTAAATTTGCCCATTTGACCTGTGCAGAGGACAGGTGAATCTTGGAGAATGACAGTGCATTTTCATAAGCTTAGCCAGGTTGTGACTCCAATTGTAGCTCCTGTACCAGATGCAGTCTCATTACTTGAGAGAATCAACACATCCCAGATGCTTTTTTGTCCATACCTGTTCACGAGGCCCACCAGAAACAGTTTGCTTCCAGCTGACAGGACCAGCAATACACCTTCACACACCTGCCTTGGGGGATCTCAACTCTCCAGCTCTCCATCATACTTAGTTCACAGGGAACTTGACTTCCTTTCTCCCCCACCAGATATCACGCAGGTCCACTACAGTGACAATATTATACTGATTCAACCTAGCGAGCAAGTAAGTTGTAGCTCACTATTTCGAAGACATTCATGGGTCAGAGGGTGGGGAATAAACATGACAAAAATTCAAGGGCCTTCCACCTCAATGAAATTTCTAGTGATCCAGTGATTTGGGCCTGTTGAGATATCCCTCCCAAGGATAAGCTGTTCCATTTGGCTCCCTCCTGAAATCAAAAAAGAGGCCCACCTTGTGGGCCTCTTTGGATTTTGGAGGTAACATATACGTATTCCTCACTGGGATGTGTTGCTCCAACCCACTTATTGAGTGACCTGAAAAGCTGCTGGTTTTGAGTGGGGCCTCAAGAAACCCCGCTCTGCGACGGGTCCAGGCTTCCGTGCAAGCTGGGCCATATGATCCAACAGATCCAATGGTGCTTAAAGTGACAGTGGCAGATAGGGATGTTGTTTGGGGCCTTTGGAAGACCCCTATAAGTGACTTGCACTACAGACCCTTAGGATTTTGGAGCAGAGTCATGCCATCCTCCGGGGATAACTACTCTCCTTTTGAGAAATAGCTCTTGGGCTTGAGTAGAGACTAGCAGAGGTCACCATGTTACCATGAGACCTGAGCTGTCCCTCATGAACTGGGTACTCTCTGACCCACCAAGTTATAATGTTGGACACACAGAGCCGCACTCCATCATCAAATGGAAGTGGTGTATATGTAATTAGGCCTGAGCAGGCCCTGAAGGCACAAGTAAGTTACATGAGAAAGTGGTCCAAATACCCACGGTCCCCACTCCTAGTATACCACCTTCTCTCCCCCAGCCTGCACCTATGTTATTATGGGGAGTTCTCTATGACCAGCTGATAGAGGAGGAGAAGATTCCGGCCTAGTTTACCATTGGTTCTGCACAAAACGCAGGCATCATTTGAAAGTGGGCAGCTGTAACATCACAGCCCCTCTTTGGGACATCTCTGAAGGGCAGTGGTGAATGAAAATCCTCCCAGTGGGCAGACCTTCTGGCAGTGTACCTGGCTGTCATGTTTGCTCAGAAGAGGAAATGGTCAGACATGTGATTATATACTGATTCATGGGCCATGGCCAATGGTTTGGGTGAATGGTCAGGGATTTTCCACAATTGGAAAATTGGTTACAAGAAAAGTTGGGGAAGAGGTTTGTGAATAGTCCTCTCTGAAGGAGCAAAAAATGTGAAGGCCTTTGCATCCTATGTGAATTTTCTTCAAAGGGTAAGCTCAGCAGAGGAGACTTTTAATAGACAAGTGCATAGGATGACCTATTCTGTGGATACCAGTCAGTCTTTTTTCTCCAGCCACCCCTGTCATCACCCAGTGGGCTCATGAACAAAATGGCCATGATGGTGGGGATGGGTTCTATGCATGGGGTCAGCAGCATGGACTTCCAGTCACTAAGGCCAACCTGGCTACGGCTATTGCCAAGTGCCTAATCTGCCAACAGGAGAGACCACCAACAAATCCCCAATATGGCACCACTCCCCAGGGTGGTCAGCCAGCTACCTGGTGGCAGGTTAATTACCTTGGACCACTCTCATCATGGAAGGGGCAATGTCTTCTTACTAGAATAGAAATTTACTCTAGATATGCATTTTCCTTCCCTGCATGAAATGCTTCTGCCAAAAATACCAGACAGAATGCATTATCTGCCATCATGGTATTCCATGGTATTCCAACATAGCACTGCTTCTGATCAAGGAAATCACTTCACAGCAAATGAAGTGTGGCAATGGGCCCATGATCACGGAATTCACTGGTGTTACCATGGTCCCCACCATCTTGAAACAGCTGGCATGACAGAAGGGTGCAATGGCCTTTGAAGACTCAGTTACAGCTCTAGTTAGGTGGCAATACCTTGCAGGGCTGTCTATGGTCTGAATCAGTGTCCAGTATGTGGTGCTGTTTCTCCGATAGCCAGAATTCACTAGTCCTGGGATCAAGGGATGGAGATGGGAAAGACTCACTCACTATTACCCCTAGTGACCCAGTAGCAAAATGTTTGCTTCTTATTCCCACAACCTTATGCTCTGCTGGCTTAGAGATCTTTGTTCCAAAGGAAGGAGTGTTCTTGCCAGGAGATACAACAATGATTCCATTGAACTGGAAGTTAAGACTGCTGCTTGGTCACTTTGGCCTTCTCATGCCTTTGAATTAATAGACAGAGAAGAAGTTATTGTGCTGACCACGTGACTGATCCCAACTACCAAGGAGAAACTGGACTATTACTCTACAATGGGGGTAAGGGAGAGCACGTCTGGAATTCAAAAGCTCCCTTAGGGTGTCTCTTAGTGCTACTGTTCCCTGAAATAAATGTCAGTTGAAAACTACAACAACCCAGACTAGGGAGGACTGGAATGGCCCTTCAGGAATGAAGGTCTGGATCACCCTACCAGGTAAAGAATAACAACCAGCTGAGGTGTTTTCCTGGGGCAAAGAAAATACAGACGGGTAGTGGAAGAAGGCAGTTATAAATACCAGCTATGACCATGTGACCAGTTACAAAAATAAGGACTGAACTTGTCAAGAGCATTTCCCCCTTGGTGTGTTATAAATATATAAATATATATACAGCAAGTATCTTTGCTTTCTTCCCTCTCTTATCCCCTTATCATGTAACATAAAAAACAAAACACATTGACTTTAGGGGCACCTGGGTGGCTCAGTCAGTTAAGCATCCAACTCTTGGTTTTGTCTCAGGTCATAATCTCATGGTTCGTGAGTTCAAGCCCCGTGTCAGGTTCCGTCCTGACAGTGCTGACAGCCTGCTTGGGATTGTCTCTCTTTCTCCCTCTCTCTCTGCCCCTTCCCTGTTTGCTCTGTCTCAAAATAAATAAACTTAAGAGAATTAAAAAAAAAAAAAAAACACTGATTTTATATCACAGTATTTAAATATTGTTAACTTTATATCGTAGTATTTAAATTATGGGATATCCAGGGGGAAGAGTAAATATCTCTCAAGGACTTTACCTCCTCTTCTGGGGAAGGGTTTAGTATGATTTTGGTTGTACACAGCATACTCACATTATGAGCTTTAGGCAGAATTGTAACCTTGTTATTGTCTCCATTTGGGGATTAAGTATTATTTAAGGAGATGTGTATGGGCTTGACATGTGGTCAATTTTATGTGTCAACTTGAGTGGACCACCAAATGGCCAGACATTCTAGACATGTCTACAGGGGTGTTTACAGAAAAAATTAATATTTAAATCAGTACTGAGTAAAGCAGATTGCTCTCCACAATATGGTGGGCCTCATCTAATCAGTTGAAGGCCTTAATAGAACAAAAGGCTGACCCTCCCCTAAGTAAGACCGAATTCTCCTGCCTGGTGGCCTTCAAACTGACACATCCTCTCTTCCTAGTTCTATAGCAGCTTCCAGCCTTCTGACTCAAACTGGGACATCAGCCAAGCAGATTTTGGACTTGCCAGCTCCATAATTACATAAGCCAATTTTTAAAAGAATCTCTCTCTCTCTCTCTCCTGTTGATTCTGTTTTTCTGAAGAACCCTGATTAATGCAGGGATGAGATGAGAGGAGAAGAGAGCATCAGAGTGATGGGCATATGAGGGGCACATGGCTGAGAACACCAGTGATGGTGTGGGAAGACAGAAAACAGTTTCCAAGACGAGATCTGCCTATTTCTCTGTGTAGACCCAATCAAACAAACCCACATATGAAAATCCATATTTGTATGACAGGCAAAGTTAGGAGCCATAACACCTTTACAAGGGAGCCTTGTAAGTATGGCAGTCCTCCCTTATCCGCGGTGGATATGTTCCTAGACTCCCTTATATCGCCTTTCTTTCCTATGTATACTTACCTATGAGAAAGTGTAATTTATAAATTAGGCATTTTGTGAATGTCATCTCTCTCTCTCTCTTTCTCTCAGAATATCTGTTGTACGGCATTCACCCTTCTTGTGATGATGTGAGGCGATAAAATGCCTAAGTAATGAGATGAAGTGAGATAAATGATGTAGGCGTCATGACATGGCGTTAAGCCACTGTTGACCTTCTGAAGGCAGAAAGTGAACCCGCAGAGAAAGGGGGACCACTGTGTTTTTAAAGCTTCCAGTCGCCCTAGGCATTTGCTACAGGATTGGATTAGGCTACCAGGACTCTTGCCTGAAACCGGGTACTTCTGTGTCTGGCAAGATCACCAAGGCCCTCTGGGAGCTCCGTAGCAGGGCTGGCCCAGGTCGGGCTCTTACCTCTCAGGATGGTGACATTGCGAAGGATTTCTCCATGCCGCGTGTCCACAGCTTTCATCTCCTCCACGATCATGGAGAGGTTGCGGACGTTGAAGTCCAGCCGGGCGCTGAGCAAGCTGAAGCGCTCCCGGAGCAGGTCTGTGGTGCCCAGCATGAGGGAGACGGACTTGTTCAGGTAGTAGAGCTCCTCGGCGTGGGTGTGGAAGCCCAGCGTGCAGGAGAGCCGCACGTCGTCCAGGTACTTGAGCATGCTGTGCACGTGGTTGTCGGTGGCGTTGATGTTGGTGAAGATGGTGCCGATCTCGATCTCATGAGAAGCCATGCGTCCTTCTAGCGTCTCGAATCTCTCCACTGTGCGGTTCTGGGCATAGTGGGTGTGGTACTGCAGATCGTGCATGTTCTCCTCGTGGTCGTCCAGGAAGGACGAGATGTTATCCAGCTGTAGCTGCAAGCCCATGACCTGCAGCACCAGGTCATGCATGCTCTCGGAATTCTGGCTGATGCGCTGTGAGGAGACCCCCAGGGTGGCCTGGATGTTCTTGACCGCTTCTCCGGTCTTGGCCGATGTGGTACGCAGGCTGCCGAAGAGCCGGGTGTAGTTTTGCCAGTCAGTGACAATCTTCTGGAGGGTCAGGGTCTCCTCATCAGTCTTCCGCCGGATCCCATGGATCCACTCTGAAGTCTGCCCAACAGTGAAGTTGATCTGGTGGACAGAAGCCTTGACATCATAGCACTCCTGGGTGAGGTCCTTCAGAGAGAGGTCCAGGCCAGCTGTGGTGGCCTGCCAGCCTCTCACCTGAGTGAGAAAGAACCCCAGAGACTGGTTGACCTGGTGGATGGAGAAGGAACAATTGCCCATCTCCTGGGAGATTTGACTGCTGGTGGTGGAGAGCAGTTCATGGGTCTGAGAGGTCTGGTCCAGCTGGACCTCCTGGGCCAGAAGCATCTTCTGAATTCCTTCCAGCTCTTCCTGCAATTTTCTGATCTCTTGCTCCAGCTGCCCAGCCTCATGGCAGAAGGAACAATTGTTTGGGGCTTTCAGATCTTTAGGAGAAAGGGACAACATTTTGAGTTGCTGAAGGATCATGGGACAAAAGTGGCTTCTTTAAATATTTTGGAGCATAATGAATTGTCAAGTGGCTTCCTGTTCCCTCTTCCTATCCTAAGTCTGCTATGAAATCCTTTATGGAAAAATCTTGCCATTTCTATGAAATCTTATTTTGACCAAATGTCTTTACTATGACTTGAAATGTAGAATTTGGGACATTTTTTTTTTCCAACTCACCACCAAATTCTCGAGAACATATCTTCATAACTTTTTGAAGGTTGCCAAGAACTGCCCATTTAAACTTTATATTTCTCCAAACACTTTTATATTTGCTATCTTATCAGTACATTTATGGGGAAAAGATGGTACAGGGATTATTTCTCCCATGTGTCCGATGAGAAATGAGGCACAGAGAAGATGCCTGCCAAACATCACTCAGCCTGTACTTTCTCTTTCCATCAGGGCAGACTACCTCTACCCCTTCTATTATGGCTCCTCTGTCTCTGCCTCAGAACGAGAATGTCCCTAGCTAACGCAGGAGATAGACAGCATCCTGAATTGTGCACACTTTAAGGCAGTAGTGAGGCAAGGGCAGACTTGCCAAGAGGCTTCGGAAGATCCTGAAAATAATCTCAGATACTTGAGAATAACTGGGAAATGTCTTTGGGTTCCTTCTCTGCCTCCTAATGCTTTACAAAGTCTACCTCCAAGCCTTCTCTACCTGTAGGCTCTGGCTAGATCTGTACCTCACACAGAAACCCTGGCCCCAGTCCTGGGTGAAACCCAGGGCAGCCGCCCACTCGGGATGAACCAGGAGGCAAGGAGTCATAGCTGCCCTTTCCTTGTGCCTAGAGGGTGGCTTAAGGCTTCCCTGCTCCAGGGCACCATGGTCTGGGGGGAGGGGGGGACACTCACCCCTCCCCAATTAACCCTGGTCTTCCATCATTGTCATTAGCACATCTGGACACTGGACACTTACCCAGGCCTTGCAGATTTTCCTGCATGGACATCAGCTTCTTGTCATAGATGGCCTGGGCCAGGGAGATGTCTTCAGAGAGAGAGTCCACTTTCCTGAAAACTATATGGGAAATACAGATGAGAAACTGGGGCAGGGTCTTAGCTCAGAGAAACAGCAGTCTTTTGGTAAGAAGGTATTTTTATCAGCCTTTCTGCAACCAAAACCATTCATCCTTCTACAGGGCTTTTCAGTGGTGGTAAGGGAAGATGCTTCTTATGGCCAGAGTTCACACATTCTATATCCATTTAGATCTATATCTGTTTAAACATCTCTCTTAAATATATATATGTATGCATATGTGTGTGTGTGTGTGTG